AAGTATTAGTTGAAAATATTTTGATCAAATACAGCTGATTACAACATTCAAATTACCTATCTAAATAAATTATTCAAACCAGAGGTTTAGCTGGTGTATCACGGTTGATGAGGAGCTGATGTTTTTCTCTACTCTACACTGCCACAAAGTGTATTCAAGCATTTGTTCTTTCTTATCATATTTAGTCATTGACCATATTTGTAACCATGGTTAAAGGAAGAAACATAGGTGTGATATTTCCGTCATAGGCTGACACCACCCAGATTACAAACGCCATTTCACTCTTTAGAAAAAATATAAAAACAATAATAATCAAATCAAAACAAATATATACTTATGGTAGTTACAACCAGCTAATTTTCTGTTTGCAATCTGGGTGACGTCAGCCTATGACTAGAAAATCACACCTATGTTTCTTACTTGCACCATTATTTGTAACCATAACAGTATATAATTTAGTACAATACATACATAGTTATCTTGTAAAGCATCATTATTTTTAATGAATTCATACAAGATAGAGTAAGTAACAAGTTCTTAGAATTGCAAAATTTTAACTCATTACAACATTTTGATTGTAAAGACTACACAATTACATAAAACGACATGAAAGACAACTAATTAATGTTACATACCATACCTATTAATTTAATAATATTAGAACTAAAACATTATTTTAGATGGCAACGACCCTGTTAAGATTAAAGTTTTCAAAATCAAATGAATGACTAAATGACGATTGTGGCTATTTTTGTTTTTTTCGTTTTTGCAGAGTTAAGTATCTAAAAGGATTATTATACTGTATTTTTCCATGCAAGATGACCAGAGTGTTATATTTTTTTATCTCAACCAGATTTGTGATTCTATATTTATCTTTTAAATAAAAAGAATAGAACATTTTCGATTTTTCCAATCGGTTAGTGCTATGCAGTTAATGTAATTTGGAAGATTTAGGGTTAGAGAAAATCATATAGAGTATTATAGAGGTTGCTAAAATAACACACATAAATTCCATTTCTGTCTGATACAGCTAATCCCTAGTAATTGGATAAAAAATTGTTAGTATCAAGAGTGTGTAAAAGACACAAAGAAATTGTAAAATTTATTTTAAACCGTTGGAAAAGAGCTATACAACCCTTTTAAGACATTTAGACCCAGAGTGAAAAATACACAGAAATGGAAATGGTAAAATTCCTTAACTCATTTAAATTATAATACGTGGCTGATTTGACTACAATTTAGAATTGATTTAAGTAAAGATCTACATAAAAATGGCACTGTTCTTATATCTATGTTAAAAAATAGGTTGATAAATCTTATTGAAGAAAAGTGATAACTTTTACCTATTTTGACCAAACGGTATTGAAAAAAAATATATTTGATAGCACCATCATCAAAATAAACTGGCTCAGGAGTAATAAGACAAGGTAACAAGAAGATAAATCAAACAAAATTAACAATAATATTAAATGGAAAAATATACATAGTTTTTTGATTTTAATCAAACAACAGCTATATGAAATTCCGGTTGAATAAGTGAATGAATACATAAAAATATTCCGCTTCTGGAAAAATTGACTTGGAATCTCTTCTATACCTATCATGAGATATAAGTATGTCATGGTTTTTTTCTACATTCAAAATATATTATAATTAAACATTACACATGATCAGAACACCAAATATTCAACATTTTACCTTGTAATTAAAAGTAAAATGATTGAGTTAAACTGATAATATCTTTAACAATCACCAAAGAAAAAACATTGTATTACAGAACTCGTATGAAAACCCCACTCTTTCATTACCAATTTTTTTTATAAACCACGTTACAAAAATAAATAACTAATCTAAATAATATAGGCTAGCAAAAATTGTGCTAGTTTTTTGTAAACCTGTAATATGATAAATTATTATTAGACTAAGCCAAGAGCGGAATAACACTTGGTCAGTCATTACCCTTAGTAAAAAATTAATTAAAATCGGCCATGGTAAAGAGGATACTTAATTATTTCAATTGGTATTAATATAAAAAAACCTACTAAATCATATACTGTATTCTCAACCAATAAAAACACTAGAGCAGAAAATTGTTAAGTTTAATAATGTAAAATATGTAATGGAATGAAGATGGTCCCTAATTACTGTAATTAGTTACTATAAACCCAAACCAAGGAGTGTGCAGGTATTTTAAATCATTTTATATTTAATTGTTTGATGCAAAATATTGTTTAGTGTTATTTTTGTTCATATGCTCATATGATACAGTTATAAAATGCAGTAGGCCTTCTTGATAATTGAACTCAAGTTTTTTTAATTACACGTTTAGTATTTTAACAGTGCAATGGTTTTAAGGAATTTAAAAATCAAGTCCTAGGCTCATACAAATTTTTAACACTGCTATTAGTAGTTATAAAGTTTTAAATATTTTTAGTAATAATTTAAAAGTGCCATTTTACATTAAAGAAGAAAAAAGTAAAAATAAACAAAAAAACACAGCTGATAATGAAATTACACAAATTAATGATTTTAGTTAAATGATTATTCCTTTAAAAGGATCCAAATTATAAACCAATATCTTGAGTTTATGGGACTCAATTATGGGTTGGTATGCATTTTTTTCTTTCTTGAAATGTAAACTCTAGGGGTAGACTACTCTCCAACACAAAAAATCTCATTATTTAACTTTTGCAAATTGAAATTATGGAATTACCATAAACAAAAGTGTTAAGAATACTTTGAATGCCTGAATACAATGGTGGGTATTCTACAGTACCTCTAAAGTTATGGGTTAACATTTTGAGCATTATCTCAACTAAGTGTTACGCTGTAACTAAAAAATAAAACAAAAGAAAACATTACACTCTATTGTTATGAAATTGAACTAGGCTGGATCAACAAAATTTGTAATTCAGATTCGAGAGCATATAGCAAATAATGTAAATAAACAAATAAAACTTATAAAAAAAGTACCCAATAGTTATGAACGATATCATCATCCTTTCAAAGCTAGGGTTTCCAAGATCACGCCGTACGGACAGTGTGAGTGGAACAAGCAAGATTATGTAATAAAGTTTAAGTTGAAGCCATGCCCAACCCAAGTTGAAGCCAGACCCATATGGGTCGGTTTCCAAGCACGAGCGATCACGCTGGACATGAGTTTTTCCGCCATCTGTCTGGCATGAGTCCTCAGCGTGGCAGCTGAAGATGACCTGGCGTGCAAGCCGAGCGGGCAGGTGTAGGACTCTATTTTGTTTTGTGACAACTAACACTGTTTTAAATTTTGTTTAAAAATCCAGTGAAAGAACATGCTGTGGATAAATTTTGTCATAAATGGCAGAAGTTGTTAAGTTTTTCCCTCCCCACCTCATTGCGGAGGCTAGAATGAAGGTTTGCCAAGTGGTAACTGACCTGGAATCGTGCCATCCAGCAAACTGCCCCTCCCCTGCTACTACAGCTGGCCTCCCCAATTTACTTACAGCGTACAACCATTTCCCCCCAAACATTCGAGTGCATACCCTGCATACCCCTAGTGACAACATCAGCAGTGCTACTTCTTCGTCCTACAATAATTACAGTTCACCAAATGACGTTCAAGATGCTTTCGATCCAACCCTCGAGGAGTTGAACACTTTTGTAAAAATTTAAAAATCACACTTAGATTATTTAAGTGTGATTGCAATAAAATCCAACTTCTTTGAACAATGGTGTGTTTTTTATTTACCAAAACTACTTTTACGTGTCTCTTTGTTTATAGAACCGGATTATGGAGCTATGTTTGGTAGTTTTTATTTTTATTTTACTTATTTTAAGGACTTTAAAGGTGTTTTAATAACTCCGATGTTATTTCTAACAGTTTTGATTATATGATACATTTAGTCTATTTGTAAATTTCTCATTTATATGCAATTTTTTGTCATTGCTGACAACTAGCTCATAGTTCATTTCCCAAGAGAAATAACCGTGTAAAAAAACATGAGAATGTCCGCTTTCTTGCAAACCACCCTCTTGCCGGATATCGTCGGACATCCCACGGACGAAAATTAGCGCCAACATACATCATGCCAAACAGATCGCTAGCGTGTTCCTGGAAACCGTAGCTTAAGGCTAACTTTTGCAACTTTAACAAGACTTTTTGGACGGGTCAATGTTATTAAGCTCCATCAAAAAATGTTTATTTTAACAATCGCCTTTACTCTTTTTTCATACAAAAACTGCTGTTTTAAAGTTGAAGTTTAGTTTAGATCCCTCATATACATACTATAACAAAATTACTGTTGGTACTTTGGTTGAATCTTGTATGATATCCCTAATCTTAGGTTCATCATCGAGTTTGTCTTATATATACCAAAAGTGATGGCACAGTTTAGTTCAATATTATGTTGTTCAATATCTTAGCAACACAAAAAAGACGTTTCTCGTCTTGATAACAACTAAAAATACAGCCAGACACATTTTATGTGTTTAGAGCTTAAAAACTTAAGTTATTTTTATATAAATATAAAAAATCACATAATAACTAGTGGTGAAAATGTGAAAATTAAATAATGATAGTGTTGAAAAATCTGAATGCAAGTACTGTAAATGTCAGTATAAATTGTTGTGGAAATTCTGATATAACAATTCAAGCCCTAAATTAGTTTCAATCATATTTGCCCCAGGATTGATGTAACAATGATAAAATAGATTGCATACCTAATTAATCTACCTGTGCAACCTATTTTATCTTAGTATTGGTTTGAAATATTTAATCAGATTTATTGTTAATAATAAAATCAACGGTTTATTTGATGTTAGACATGCCTAACTGAAATAATTTTGAAGGCGGTTTTTTTCAATAATTGAGGTTTGCTAGGCAAATATTATTCTTTTACGAACTGAGGAATGGGCATTGTGGAATGCATTCTTTTCATTAACTCTTGCAATTTCACTTTTTACAAACACTAGTTACATGTGATGAATGATTCTATGTGATGCTACTCGTGGGTGGGTGAGGAGTCCTGATGTGAGAACGTTTGTGTCGAGGTCTGTACCTGTAGTCCGGATGCTGTTCCATGTGAACTCTCATCAATCTTTTCTGTTCCTCATAAAACGGTTGCTTCTCATAGTCAGACATCTCTTTCCATCTAGCACCTGGGGGTATAACATATGTTATTCAGTACACAGGTACACTTATAACAGTTGGCAAGGTGCTGGCTTAGCATAGTAGTGGGGAGCAACAGTGATGTAAACACTTCTCAGGACCAGACTAAAATAAATTAACTAAGTAGAAATATTAGAAGAAAAAATTAAGATTAACTAATTGTAAACAGATTTTCAAATATTCAAAATTTGTGAAAATTAAATAGAATGCTCAATCCATGGATATGTAGGAGAACAACTTGGAATACAATGAGTACTACGAGGATAACTCCAAGTATCTGAAATAATTCGTACCGTACCACATTCAGATGATAGAAAATTTGAATAGTTGGAGTTTTACTGAAATTCGAGGTTTATACAAATTAGGTATAGTTAAGCCAATATATTAGTATCGCCATGGCAGGTTACATGTACAAAGATTTTGCTAAGAAAATACACGCATTCACCACAATCGCACACAACCAGTGGCGTAAGTACATTGAGCGGTAGTTGGTGAATAGTTGTGAAATAGTTGTTGTTGTGAATAGTGAATAGTTGTGAATAGTTGGTGAATAGTCAAATAGTTGGTGAATGGATTGTTGGAGTTTTACTGTACCGTACTATAATTTTCACAAAATCTTTATATTAATAGGCAAGCATGTTTCTTTAAAACATTTTTTCTCAGTTTGTGTGCATCTTAGGGGAAATCTACGCCTACTGTTGGAAAGCTATTAGGTGTGCAGAATCCCTTTATAAATTAAAATAGGCTCAAATATAAGCCCAAAAATGAATTAAAAATTTTAAAAAATTAACACAGACCATATGGGTTGCCAAGCTGGTGACGAAATAACAACGAAATATAAACAAAAAGTCAAAACAAATAGAAGAAATTTCAATCACCCTCATGTTTTATTTACAACGTGGGGTGAAAATAGAGAAGTCTGTACATTCAATACTTTTGGTCGAGTTTTCGACCACTGGCCGACCTCTAGTCTTCATAAAATGGTTCATCATAGTTTCTAACCAAGGCGAAGTTAACTTTACTAGTCTTAATTGGCGTAATCACATCATCAAACTTCTTCCTAAGCTCGGCAAATGATTTATATACCGTTCTGTCACTGACTGAGGTAGTTCTTCTAAAACATCGACACAGGCGGTTGTGCTTTATGTTTTGTTGCTGCTGAGTATATTTAATACATTTTAAGACAGTTGCAATCCAGACAATGGTAACATTGTTTCTAGGATAAATTTTATGAAGTGAAGGAACTTGAAAACTATCATGAATTATGTTCGCACCAAAACGGCAAGTGTTGTGCCCACCCCTGGGCTTCGGGGGTGCAAGTGGCACAGGTCAGTAAGCCACCAACCTTCGGTCATGTCCATTGTCATTTTCATTTATTTAAATTTAATTATTTGTCACATATTACAATCAAGTATAAATTACAAGTTTCAAGTTACATATTCTCATTTATTCATTACAATTAATACTGTAGCATTATCATCATTTTTCAATAAACAGTGTTTTACTTCAGGAGCAGTTTTATATTTCAGCTCCATCAACCAAGTTCATTACATGACATTTACATAAGTCATTACATTCAGTGCGTCTGCGTACATCGCAGTGCGTACAGTTTTTGGTCCTTCGAGCCGGATTACTCGTTAAGTGGAATACAGTTCATCTATAGCAAAGATTTAGTGACAATTTTTGAGCTGAAATTGGACACCTCGACGAGGAGAAAGCTGCCAGTTTACTGCCTGTCAATCAACCCCCTCAAGGACAACCCCTTCGCCCTGCATCAACCCTGGACGGAGCCGAGCCATAGCGACTGCAGCCGACACTACTCGAGCAAAATCGTCATTCACCAACTCCTGCCGTCTCGAGCGCAGCCGACAGGACGCGACACAACAGCTGACAAGGGTAAGTGACCGAGGTGTCAAAACATAACCTCCCTCTCAAAGTCTACATCCATGGATGGTATTGTCAACTCCTACTATTTATGTACTTCCAAAACAACATTTTTCTTAACCTAACCTTTAAGCCTCTCACGCATTCAACCATATTCAGTATTTACTATATTCAGAACATGGAAACAGAACTTAAAGTTTTAACCAACAATAGCGGTCAGATAAAGGAAAAATTAACACGGTTCATCACATTCTTTCAAAACCCAGTAAACAAACAAAACCTAACAGAAATTGAATTAAGATATGATAAATTAAACAACATCCTTAGTGAATTTGAAACAGTACAAGAACAAATAGAAATCATAGATGACACGTCAGATCATTCAGCGGAAAGAGATGAGTTTGAAATTCAGTATTTTGACGTAATATCTAAGGTAAAACAACACCTACAACAGAACAATAGTAACACAACTCCGCAACAGTCAATTTCACCATCTATCAACAATCAAATTCCAGTCAAGCTCCCAACAATAAACCTCCCGACATTTTCGGGAAAGTATGAAGAATGGATGTCCTTCTATGACACTTTTTCTTCGTTAATTGTCAACAATGACGCCCTAACCGATGTACAACGCCTGCAATACCTCAAGGCTTCCTTGACAGGTGATGCAAAACATTAGACAATTTGGATTTGACTGCACATAATTATGGAACAGCATTATCGCTACTGAAGCATCAGTACCAAAACGAAAGAATCATCGTACAAAATCATGTAAAATCAATTTTAAACCTTCCACAAATTCACAAGCACGAACCTCAAAAACTTAAGCAACTTATCAATAGTCTCCACACACATCTTTGGGCACTGAAATGTCTAAATTAACCAACGAGCACTTGTAAATATGCTCATACACATAATCATTCCCAAACTCCACCCTTTATTACAACGCGAATGGGAGCTATCAACTGAGCCCAGAGAGCAGACTTTCTAGAGAAGAGCTGTCAAATCCTTGAGAACATTTCTTCCAACAAACACAAATTACACAGAAACATTCAAATCACTCCAACTGGTAAAACCAATCTTTCAAACCCAAGTCTCACGAATTTCAGACGCAAACTTGCAAACTTTGCAACAGTAATCTTGCAATTTACCGTTGTAATAAACTGCTAAACTCTACACATGATGACAAACTTAAACTACTTTCAAATTCAAGACTATGTCACAACTGTCCAAGCCAGGGACATAAGATCGAACAATGCAGATCTTCAGGGTGTAAGAAGTGTGATTATAAGCATAATACTTTGCTGCATGTATATGAGCCACAATCTAGCATGGCATGGCCTACTGTAGAACTTAAGACACATTTCACTAATTCTCTAGGCACCAGTACAACACCATCCTCAAATAACTCAGAGATGTCGCTGTCAACAGCCTTAAAACAAAATCATCAGCCCTCATGGCACCCAGTTGACATGGTGCTTCGGGCCAAGCAAGCTTCGGGGATGCAAGTGGCACAGGTCAGTAAGTAACGTTCGGTTGTGTTGATTGTCATTTTCATGTATTTCAAATAAATTATTTGTCACATATAACAATCAAGTTAAAAGTTACATATTCTCATTTATTCATTATCATTTATACAGTAGCATTATCATAATTTTTCAATAAACAGTGTTTTACTCCATGCGCAGTCTTATATTTCAGCTCCATCAACCAAGTTCATTACACAACATTTATTACATAAGTCATTACATTCAGTACGTCTGCATACATCGCGGTGCGTACAAATTATGTTTAAGTTCAAGATCATTAAATTACAGTGAAAATATGTTACGAGAGATGGAATAGTAAACAGCCTAATTCATACTGGGCAAATGTTTGACAAACAAGTTTCTTGTCATAGTTTTATAGCAAACTAATAGGCTACATAGTTTGGCCAAAAGTGGTCCAGTTTGAGCCTAGTGTCATTGATAATGAACTTGTGATATTATCATCTTCGGCTAGCTTGTTTAGCTACATTGGGCATTTGTAGTAACTAACGGACCTCTACCTCTAAGATAGTGGCTGTTACAAATGATTTCTATATACAACTGTTGTAAGCTACAGGGGGAGAAAAACAAAATTAAGGTAGTGGGCCACTAGTTTCAATAACGCTGCTGATTCTGTTCGATTGTTTCTGTTTGCTGTTTATAAATATATATATATTTTTCTGTTCAATAAAACTGTGAATAAGTGTGGTCAAACTTAACTCACCAAGAATTTTGGATATGACAGAGTTGTGCATGTTGGGGTTAGCCTTAAGAATCTTCTGTCTCTCGCCCTTGGCCCAGACTATGAATGCATTCATGGGTCTCTTGATATGTGGCTTCTTCTCCTCTGTGGCTGGTGAAGGCTTTTTCACCAGTGCAAGGGCTGCTGGTCAAAATTATATTTATTAATAAATATAAATGTCACCAACTAATTCAAGCCTGTGATTGGATATTTGTAATTTGTTATTTTGTAATTGCAAAATACCACTGGAATTAAAATATAAATGTGTGTGATGAAAAAATAAGATTTAAAGCTAACAGGATTGTTTGAATTTTTTAAAAGCTCTGGGCAAGTATTACTTTCAGCCAAAAATTACTGGGTTTATTTAAAGACTGTTTTTGTTATTATTAAATGTATAGCTCGTGACAGTAAGCTGGCACTTGACTGATTGCTACTAGCATCTATTCCAAAAACATTATTTGCCATCGTGCGGGATGCGTCTACTGTCCTTGTGATCCACATGAAGGCACTCAAGTACATGAAACATGGGGAGTCAACCCCGTGAGTCAGCGGATGTGTCTGTAGTCTGGTCTTTTCCATTCCTCCACCCTCCCTACCCTACCTACACTACCCACGCTGGGCCCAAAGCCAGCTTACATGTCACAAGCTATAATAAGATTATTAATTCTCTAAAATATTAATAATTTTAAATAAAAGTCCAAGATCTGGATCAAACTTATTATACAAGTTTAGTTGGCCTACACATATATTAAGCTAAATTGAAAGTTACAAATTCAAAAAATGATCTGTCTAATAGAGTACAGTACCTACTGAAATGGATATTTGACTTAGTAATATCAATGTTTATGGCCACTTACCATCTTGTTGTACAGGCTCTTTTGATCCTTCTAGCCAATGAGGATTGACCACAGCTTTATCTGAAACACAATATCTGAGCTAAAACATCAGAATGGTAGCTTAAAGAGGAAACCCCTGTGTGCCACAGCTGTTTAATTGGCTTTTCGTACCGGTGGATGTTAACAGTTTGAAAACTTCTCATGAATCTACAACAGGCAATGCCTACAGTGCCTACAGTGACTGACAATTAATTGAGGATAAGCTAATTCAAATCTTAGACCCTATTATAATCAGTGCCGACCCATAGACGACGAGCCGACGATTAGTCTTGTTGCCGAAAACAATGTAAGAGAAAATCACTGATCTTGCCAAATGTGAATCGCAATAATAATCAATTTAGATGGGAACCCGCAGTTGATGATAACATAAATATATGATGATGGTTAAAATATTAAGTGAAGGTGTATTTTAACCTAACCGAAGGATTAGAGTAGAATAGAGTGAGATGATCTGTGATTAAGTTTCAATGGAATGGGGTTGACCCTTACTGAAATGCATTGCCAGTGGATGGATCTTTATGCAGAAATGCTTAGGGGTTGAAAATGCAAGGGAGTTTTTAGGTGATACATATTTGCTCAACAATGCCAGCAGCAAGTGTACATTAGTTCCATTGAGGCAGAAATTAAAATTGATGAAACTTTGCTTGCTGATCGGCATGGTTAATACGCACAGTTTGAAGTTGTCGATAGTTTCACAGGGGCCTTCTGGGTCAATTCTAAAATCTCTTGTATTGTCACATGTTCCGCATGTAAAATTCTTCCCCCCACTTTAGTCATTCCCTCAAATGAAACTGGTGAATTAGAGCCGGCTGGCTTACAATCTGCAAATGTTCACGACTGCTTCCTCCGCACCTTGCAGACATCTACATCCTAACATTTGATTTTATATTCACGTCTCACATCTGTCAACATGCAACAGAAAGAGTTGTTCAGGATGGTGTTCAGTTGTAACTGGTTGGATCAAATATTATTAATTAAGTTAGAGGAGGGGGGTTCAGAAATTTCTTAAGGAAGGAAGTAAAAACCTTTTTTTAATAAATAAGAGAATATTACCTTTTGAGGGGGTTTTCAGTTTATGTTGCACAGTCCAGTTTGGAGGTTGAAATTCTCGCACTACAATTAAAAAAGGTTTAATTAGATACACTCACCAGCATCAATTACAATAGGCCTACCGTTAAAATATACTTTAACCAAAAGCAGATAGTATATAAGCCTTAATATATATGCGATGAAGGAAATCTATCCCGTAACCATTGGTTATTATTAGTGAGCTTTATAGATAAAGTTTCTTTTTATAAGTAATTGTATAGTATGATAACTGTCTTACCTGTGTGATGAAGAAACCAGTGTGAACAGTTTAAAAAAATGTTAACTGAAAATGAAATTGGACTTGTAAATAAAACAACACACTTTCTTTAAACCTTTTTATGTAAAATAAGTAACATAGAACAACAACAAGAACATACTTTGCAACAAGAACATCTTGTGCAAAGTAAACGAGAAAGGTTGAGTTGACTGGTGAAGAATATACTTTACATTTTAATTATTTTTCTACCTTATAATAGTTACCGAGATAGTTGACGTGACATATAAGATGCTACAGCTGACAATAAGGCATCCTATCAGTTTGAGATGGAAAAAGTCTGCATTTGCGACATAAATCAGCAATTTACATCGGTTTGATCTGTCAATGGCTCACTTCAACTACGTAATTTTGATTAAAAACTAGGGATAACTTTAACTTAGGTCTACAGTTAAGCTAAGTTTAACGAGTATTAATAGAACTACACATCCCATCCCTATGTTAAAGTAATAACATAATAAAGCTTAATTAAATATGTTTAAAAAGCTAATGACAACAAGTTTCTTCTAGTAGCTACTACAAATTCAAGGTTTTACAAAACTCCAATTAAAAGTTCTTGAAAATAAGTTGGTAATGTATCTTGGGCAAATTTCTAACAAGGTACCTATAAAAAGTGAAACAAGTGTTTAATGAGTGTGAGTGACAAGTCTTTTGTAGTTTGGCCTCACAATTACAAACTGGTTCTTTGGTCTACAACCAGTATTGAAAGGTCCAATGAGCCAAGAGGTAAATTTAATAAAAGCGACATTTTATTCAATAAGCCAGCAAGAACAGTTTTAGAAGTCCGAATCTAATCAGTATTTTAGCAACTGGACAGCGCTAGGTCTAAGGATTATATAGATATAGACCTTGTGATCACAATTCCATCGAGCACATACAAAATGTGGTCTAACAAAAAAAGTAAGGGTTATATAATTTGTTTTTTAAATTTTGTAGGTGCAAATTCTTTAAATCCCAGTACTTATTAAGATTCTAACATAAATCTCAAAACTTTAAGATAGTCACTCTAATCAATCACAAAGTACGGGTAACTTATATAGGCTTCAACTTGCGTTGAAACCACACATTAGCACAAAATACCACCAAAAACCACCAGGTCAAATAGACTGGTCCGTCAGAGGCATATATAAGTCACATATATTTATCTATTTCCAAACAAAATAAACATTGATGATATTTGTGATGCTGTAGAGATTGGACTCAGTTTCTTCATTCTTGTTTCATCTGAAAGAAAGGTATTAAAATCATCAGGTCGATTTAAACCAAACGACAACAAGAGTAATTTTAAGGAAAGGTATTGTTTTAGCATTTGCTTGAAGTCGTCAGATTGGTAATTTTGAGTTACACAGTAGTAAACACTTGGTAGAAGTAATAAAAATATCCCGCAAAATTTAAAATCAGCAACTACCATCAAACAACACATTAAGGCTCGTATAAGTTAACCTAGAAAGCTGCATCTGTTAATGTCTTAATAATGTATTATACAAGATCAAAGAATACAGTAAAACAAATTATTTCTTTCCATAAGCACATAAAAGTAGGCTAGCAACACTTCAGGATAGACTGGTAAGCCTATAACTAAGTTAACCTACTTTTCTAACGTTTACGTGTACCTGAATCTAGTTCTTACATTGGTTAAAGCCTATTTGTTGGTTATTTATTTGTAGTTTTGTTAAATTTATTTATTTTTTAAGTAGGCCTAATATAAGTTAACTTACTTAAGTTTTACTTGTATAAGATAGATTTGGCAAAACTTTCATATCCGACACCATTGTATTAACTTAGCCTATCAATTCTTATACTGGATGTTCAAAAGGTCTGGACACCTCTTGAGTTAAATATCTTTTTAACCAAATTGGTTGGAAAATTAAAACTTTGCAATTTAACTACATATAGGCCTAGGCCTATGTATAAAAACTACTTTTTACTAGCATTACCATTGTTTTACCTCCACGGGGGGACGGCCCATGGGGAGTACGTCCTTAAGTAGGCCTACAAAATCTTAAATGTAGGGTAAGTTAAGCAAAGGTAAATATGCACATCATTTTACAGGGCTGGTTAAGTGGGATCAATGTCGGAAACCATGTCTCATAAGGTTCACCCGTTGTGAAATGGTAGCCATTTAAAGTTTCTATTGATACTTAAAATATTGGTGTTCAAACAAGTCAGGAAACCCCTTTCTTATTTTATTAAGAAAACCCATAAAACAGCATCACAGCCTAAGTGGGTTTGAAATTTGTCTTCCCAAAAAAGCTCATGTAAAACCCTATTAAATTTAAGTATAGGTACATAACCCTACCTTGATCAGATTATTAAACTAGGGTAGGCCTATTTTTACCACACGAATGACACTTAATTTTGCCGTATAAGATAGGCCTAGCCTATGATGGTTAACATTTAAGTTGAAACTTTATTTTTAGACTTGGAATTCACATTCCTTACTTATATAAATTTACAAAGGAATTAGGCTAATACCTAGGTCCAGTTCTTTAATGAAAAGTATGTTGGTAACTTAATGTTAATAATGGGTTTCTTGAAGCCTATACTAATAAAATGAGGGCTTTACAGTAAGAAGTTAACCAAAACTGACCACTAACCTATGATTTTAATAAGTTGTTAACTCTTTCTCAACAGAAGTACAATGCTGTTAAGATATTTTAACTGAGATTGTTTTAGAGCTAGGCCTACCAGTCAACTTGCAGATAAAAGCTAGACTAACATGCAAATTATTTGTTATCAATAAAAACCTAGAAGCTAGACGGGGCTGAGTTCGCTAGGACTACAATTAATTAAAAGTTTGAGTAGGCCTGCTAGGCCTCTAGCAATTTTAACATGATAAAAATGTTCATTTGATTAACTAGGTTAAATACCAAATTCAGAAGTAGATAACCTAACAACACAACCTATTATAAAACTAGATTTATACAAATTTCGTCATTATGACTTCACAATTATTTTCCATAAGGCAATAGAATAGAAACAACAATAACAGAACAGAATAATCAAACCTAAGCAAAACAACAGAAAACAACAGCAACAGACAAGTTGCAAAATAAAAAAAAGATCAAGACAATTAACAAAAAAAATGAAAAAATAGCTGGTTCTTCTTAAGAGTGACTGTGTTGATTTTCGGGTCGCTGCACGGCCACCTTTAGGCCTTGGCCTTCGAACGAACTGGCAACGTCGCAAGTGGTGTTGTAACAGCTGTTTTGTTTGGAAGAAGCTATGGTATTTGTTTATTTACGAAAGATATGGTTACTGGACTATGACAATTAATAGTGACTCCGCTTTAAAATGTACAGATATAGATTTTAATTTATTTTAATTTTTCGGTTTTCAATTCTGCATGTTTTATTTTCAATATTTTAATAAATTTATGTTCATTAATTTAAATTTTAATCAATTAAGGGCGAATTAATGAGCCGATGTCACCTGTTTGCCATGTTATCTTATAGGACGTCTGTCAGTGAACAACACCACTTGCGATGTTGCCAATTCTACCAGGCCGCGGCCTTGTAGAATTGGCAACGTTGCAAGTGGTGCTGTCCAGCCCCGGAAGTCCCATAAGATAACATGGAAAGCAAGTGACACCAGCTCAGTAATTTACGGATTATTTATTTAAATTTAAATGTATGATTAATGATTATAAATCCATTAAAATATTTAATATAAAACATATAGTGTTCTAAACCAAAACAATTTTAATTGAAAATCTATTTCTACATTCAAACAGGAGTCGTTTTTTATAGCCCTAACCCACTAGCCCAGTGACCAATCCGTCCAATGTCCTACTCCTAGCCTATCCTATTCTAAAAAAAATTCTCATTTCAAAACTAGGTAAGTTAAGCCCGGTTTTAGTCTTGTAGTTCAAAATAATTTATCTTCTCGCAACTCTGACTGTTCTGTTGGTTAGTAGGCTACTTAGTTTAAAGGAAAATGCTAGATTTACTTGACAGAAAGCAGGGCCGTCCAGAAAGCTCACTAACTTAGTAGCCTAGTAAACAAATATTCTGATAAGGTTATACCAGTACCAGTAGCTTACTTAAGCCCCGTTCACACGGGGCGAGCTTACAAGCTACACGTCGGCTTTTTTACACGCAGCTAGTAAAATAGCTCAGTGTGAACGACGTACTCGTTCAAAAGCTGCTTGTAAAAAAGCTCTGGAAAAAGTTGACACTGCCGCTACTTTACACGCCAACTCGCCAGCTTTTGAGCGAGTAGGCGTGTAAAGTAGCCCAGTGTGAACACAGTTGCTTGTGCTTGTGCGCATGTGACCCAAAGAGGGGTAGCGGATTTCTACCCCCGGATATTTACCCCCATGAAAAAACGCCTACGTCATTTTGACGTCACGAGGGGCGGGGCTTATACACGTTCGAGAAACAGCCCGCGACTGGAAATCTACCCCCGGACATCTACCCCCGGACATCTACCCCCAGACATCTACCCCCGGACATCTACCCCCGGAAATCTACCCCCATTGGTCAGCTCTGCCGCGTATCGGCCAATATTCATTGTGTTGTATAATTGATTTTATAAATTGCTTTACCTTCTTATATCCAGTAGTAAACATGCGATATGTCGATGTCTGTTTTAACATTATCCATATTTATAATTCAATAAGTTGTAACAGTCCTTTTCAACCCGACCTACTTCACTGATTTTTACGATTGAGGTGTCTTTTAAAAGCTTAAGATCTAGCGCAGCACAAAATGGTAATTAAAAGGATATTTCGATTATGGCTTCAAAATGTTGACCCCTAAGCCTTTGATTTATTCCTAGAAGGTGCTTCCAATGGTTGACCAACTTTTACACTATACAGTAACAGTTTAAAAGTGAAATGTGAGGAGTACTCATCAGATCAATTTTTAAGTCAGGTTGTGAAAACATGAATGATCGTCTGCAACTGTAAACAGGAGATGAACAAGTTATGAAAATAATATAATATTGCGCACTTTTCACATGGTCAAGTGTTACATCGTACTGAACCATTGTTTTTACACACATTTCTTAAAGGATAAAGTGAATAAACTGTGGTGGGTGGGTTCCATAATATCGACAACCGTAGAAATTGATCGAAACTGAATTATTCCCAGTTTGTCGACACTGGAATATTCCCACTTAACCGACATCCCAAATAACCGACGTCGCAAATGATCGACACCACAAATTGTCGACATCCCATATTGTCGACAATGAAATAGTTTCACTATGTCGACACTGAAATAGTCCCAGTATATCGACAAGCTCCCGTTCTTCGGAGCTACTCTTGAAAAGGAGTTGTTCTAATTCATCGTTCAGTTCCTCAACTCACGAGTCGCAATCGCAATATTTAATTCCGAATTCCGACGGACAATGAATAAATGATAAGCTAAAGCTGGCCATTTTGACTAAGCAAGCATTAAGTTATTACTTTTATATTGTAAATATTTATCTTTTTTTATTTCTTTCCTTGCTTACAGGAAAATTGGTGACTCGTGTGTTACAAACAATAGTTTTTAAGGGAAACAATGTGAAATAATTTGTATAGGTAGGTTATGTAGGCTAATCAACATGATAACAGACACTTTAGGTAAGTCACCAACAAGAACTTAAGATACAGCTTATTCGTAGGCTAATTCTGAATCATCAAGCAATATTGTAGCAAATGTTTGAATAGGCATATCCCTAGGCTATTAGGATTGTCTCTTATTCCCATTGACCCAGTGGCCAGTGTCAACTTTAAGAATTTGTTTAGGCCTATGTAAAAATATGCGGCTGCACTTTAGTTTATGTCCTTTATTCATTCAAATGAAAGATATTAAGGGTACAGTTTCTTAACTGGGCTATGCTAATATCGATTGCAACTATCGTTTCGATTAGTAAACCTTCATGCGATTTTTTCACCATCAGCAAGTTTGGTTGGTTAGGTTAGGTTATGATAGTTTTATTTTGCAATAGATGTATTTAAAAATATCGATTACTAATCAATATTTTCAATTCGATAGTTTCAATCAATATTAGCATAGACCAGTTAAGAAACTGTACCCGATATGAGTACATAAGTTAGACTATTTAATATTTTGAATACTTCATTCCGTTAGTTAGGTTAGGTTTCACCCTAACATTACCCAAAATTGATATAGGCCTAAGTTTATCGAATGAAATAATCAATATGACTGGGACGGGTGGCGTCGTCCTGTAATCCAGCTACTAGGAGGTCACGAATTGTGGATATTTATAGGCATGCACTGTGGATGCGATACTCCCTGGTGTGGATTAACGTCCGCTTGAGTGAGTACTACGACTATCCGCAGTACTATCCTGATAATTAGACCAATTCGTATAGGCTATAGACCAAGGCAATAATGTGGTTCGGATTCCACTATGAACTGTAGGTCCCTTAGTTGCCATTAGCTGTATGGGCTATTAATTAACAGCTGTGTCTAAGGAATGTCTTGAACTTAATAACAAACTTGATGGTATTGTAAAAACTCAAAAACAGGGTTCTGCTGAAACCTGTTCTGGGCCTATGCTTAGTCAAGAATCAAATTTGTTGATTAAATCGAATGAGAATAACAACTGTTCTAAAGACAATGGGGATGAGGAAGTAGAGCAATCTACCGGTAATAACCCCAACATTCACAGTCGTAACCCTTTGAAATCTGACAGTGCAGGCTTTGGCTTTGCTTATCCCAACAGCCGGCGCAAAAATAATAAGGTAGGCTTAGGTGGTGAACAGCCTAGCCTCAGGAAAAATTTTGCAGATGCTGTAAAGAATCCTTCAGTGAAAAAGAAGACATCAGAAGGCAATAGGCCCTTGATTGGTACAAAGAGTAAAGGTGACTCATCGGAAGATGAAGGCCTAAAAATTGTTTAAAAAAAAGTGTGGTTATTTGTCTCAAGAGTTCAACCCGATGTCACTAAAGAATCCTTTGAAAATTTTGTAAAGAAAGGCGGTGTCGATAACCTTGAGTGTGAAAAACTAGAAACTAAATACCCTACATATGCATTCAAGGTAGGTGTGTCACTTGGAGATTTTGATACAGTGTGGAAGGCTGAATTTTGGCCTGAAGGGACACTGATAAGGAAATACGTCCCTAAAAGAGGTCTCACTGTACACAGTAGGACTTTTTTAGGGAAACAGAGCCCTCAGTCCTAGATAATAACAACTTTTTATCTGAAGGGCCTAATGTACCAGTGAATAGCCTACATAACCTCAAACTCTGTGGAATTAATATTCAGTGCTTAAGAAACAAAACACTTGAACTAGAGATTCTTTGCTCTGAAAATAACATTGATATCATGTGTATATGTGAGCATCAGCTCACAAATAGTGAGATTGATTCTTTCAGTTTTTTGGGTAATATGGAGCTTGCTGCTTACTTCTGTAGACAATCTTGTAGTGGCGGCTCCGCAGTGTACATAGACCATAGGCTTAAGCCTTTCTGTAAACCACTTGATCTCGGCGAGTACTGTGAGGACTTTCATGCTGAGTTTTCAGGTGTGTTGTTCCAAGGCCTTTCCCTAATTGTGTTGGCCATGTACAGATCACCAAATGGTGATGTGGGTAGGTTTTTTGAACTACTTGATAAGTGTCTAACCTATATATTGACTTTAGGCATGTTTGTTTTGATTGGTACTGACCACAACATAGACCTGCTCAGTTCTAAGAATAAATCACCCGAGTTCCTGAATATTTTGAGAACTTTTAACTGCTACAGTTCAGTGATTTTGCCTACCAGAGGTAAAGCATCTTTAGACTCTTTTATTACTAACCTCAATAAGTGGGACTATGAGGTTGTGGTCAGTGATGATCAGATTGCTGATCACAAGCATATTTTTCTTACTGCTTTTCTGAATAGACAGTCTAACCATGAATTAGATATAGGCCTAGTTCCTAAAAGTGTTTCCTACCGAGAAGTCAATGAGTATGCAATTGAACTTTTTTCTCTTTATCTTACTACGCATGTTGGGTCTTGGTTTGATGTAGTAAAGACTCTAACAGCAAATGATGCTTTTTCTCTTTTTTTTGAGAAATTTCAAGAAGCTTTTGAAATATATTTCCCAAAAAAGGTCAAGAACATAAAACCTAAGAAACCTCATAATAAACCATTGAGTAACTCCCCCAAAGTAAAGAACTGGTTTACTCCGGA